CTAAATAACTTATTTCACGTATATATGATATTTAGGCTCGCTACACATATACAACGGCAATGAAAAACTCACAAGGGGAGGCAGCCATAACCTCTGCCGCACTGAAGGGGGCGCACGTGAGCCCACAGGTTCTTGTTGCTACTGTTATTCTACCGCAAACAACAAACTCGACTTTTGAAACTACAGGAAGATAAGGACGACTTTTACAAAACAGTAATAGAGATTGTTGTCCAGAAGGATAGCATGGACTTCTATTCATCTTCAAGTCAAGGTAAGACCACAACTGTAATGAAAATGGGATCTTACTTAGAAAGAACAATCCAATATTTAGATTTTGGGTATCCTTTTGTTGATCGGTCTGTTTAAAATTAATCATAGCATCAGACTAAAAAAGCTTTTGAAAATAACAGAATATTTCGATTAAGGTCAAAATAGGCTATAATATTTGTAAATCTGACTCTGAAAGAGTCAGTGCCTCACCAGCCATGAACCTCACCGCACGTCACTGGTTGAGACCATTCGGGCTTATAGAAGAGGGGTGCAAGGAATAGTCTAAGGCCCCGGCTCCACGAGGACGGAAACTGGTTGAATCCGCATATTTCTCATGCGTATAGCCCTCTAAGCTCCACGACGCCGTAAGGGAAACGTAGAAACAGACCCCGCAAACGACAACGGGTCCAAAGGTGGATAGATCTGGGAACTGAGCGCTCTGGGGGGTCCAACGGGGCCGTGGAGTCGCCTATACGGTCATTCGTTTTCATAGCCCCGCCTCTCCCTGCCTCTCCCCCGCGGGGTTGCTATCGTGCTCCAGTCGCTACTGACCATGCTACAGTTCTTTGTGCAACATCTACAGGAGCTCCTCCTTGAATTCAGATTATGTATCTTTATCTCGATATGGACATAAACGCGAGTGAAGTCTAATCTGACAGGACGGAGACACGCAGCTCCTGCCGCTGTGATGCAGCGGGAGCAAAACACACACTTCAAGTCAGATCATCACCCTTAGCTATTTTAATTACCTCTCAAACTAAACTAGTTATAAATATGTTCATTTTTACTGTCGGGTCACTCATTACAGGATCAGCTGCTGCATAAGACAGACACTGACGCTGTCAGAAGAGAGGAAAAAGAGATGTATTTGATGATTATATATCATTATATCGTCGTTATTCATTTGTTTTAAAGCTCAATAAATAACAATGAAGACCTTTGACCGGCACTTTTATAATTTCGTCCGGAAGATTTAAACTTTAACACACGCTGACCGGCGAAAAACTCTGCCCGGTTCTGTCGGCCCCCACCGCGGAGAATACACAGAAGTGCAGCCATGACAACCATTCTTCTTCGCTGCTTTTGTGGAGGAAGTTGCTGCTTTTGTGGAGGAAGTTACAGCGCCACGTACAGGTTCGGCATATGTACTGCAGCTTTTCCAGCGTTTGGATGTAAACGGAGCCGTCTCGTGGAGCTTGACACAATCCGGTGTATATTGCGTGGGGACGGAAGTTTTTTTGCGGTTGCATTTGCGTTACTCTGATGCGTTTTGCCGTATTTGTCCTCGTGGAGCCGGGGCCTAAGTAGTGGGGGAGTTTTATACACTAAAGGTGTGGAAATTCTCTGGCGTTATAATATCAGCGCGGCCGCGGTCAGATCAAAATGCCTCCGAATGCAATTTGAATAGACCTACAGCCAATCAGAGCAACGAAACGTTGTCTGCGTCATGCCTTACTGATTGAGATCAGTCGAAACCGCCATTCAGTATCCCTATTGGATCTTCAACGTGTACTATCATACGTCCGTTCACAGTGATCCCTTTTATTTACTATAAGACAAATGTGCCGTTTTATTTCATACAGTTCCATTTGATTGAGAAAGGGAAATAATCTAAACCTCACGTGTGGCATTTCACTGTTTCACGGGGGGCGATATAGCGTGTGTGTAATTCAATTGCAAATACTGACTTGAGCACCACCAGTGTATGGGTTAGCCCTACCATAGATTACCCAACAAAAATACTCTGGCGCCGCCACTGGGTAGGGTGTAGGGGGCGGTTTGGGATTGGGCCGTAGTGACAATCACTTCCACTTCCCTCTCTGCAGCTCCTCCCTCTGTTTATCAGCAGAGGTGAAGTACACAGATCTTGAGTAAAAGGAGAAGTACTCAGATCTTGTACTTGAGTAAAAGGAGAAGTACTCAGTTATTGTATTTGAGTAAAAGTAGAAGTACTCAGGTCTTGTACTTGAGTAAAAGGAGGAGTACTCAGGTCTTGTATTTGAGTAAAAGCAGAAGTACTCAGATCTTGTACTTGAGTAAAATCAGAAGAACCAGTCCCAGAGTGTAGGAATAATCTGTTACAGTAAAAGTCCAACATTTCAGAATAATACACCATTTACTTCTAACTTGTAGTGGAGTAAAAGTACAAATGCAGGACTTTTACTTCTAACAGAGTATTTCTACACCGTGGTACTTCTACTTTTACTCAATTACAAGATCTGAGCACTTCTACTTTAACTCAAGTACAAGATATGAGTACTTCTTCCACCTCTGATTGGCTGAAATAATCGTCTTTACAATTCCCTGCTATGTCAGCTATTCTCATGTTTTATTTTGAAAAACTTCTCCCGGAAGTAGTATGGAACCTGTCACTCGTGCATTAGCTGAGAAGGGTCCAGCTCATGGATGTATAGAGTGGCGAAGTCCCTCCCCTTCCGGTGGACCTCCATGGGACCTTATTTTGGAAAAATTATGTATTGAAGTCAATGGAGAGAGAAAGATTATCTTTCGATCCCGTTTGAATTGTGCCACGAATTACACATATGATGTTTGTCAATTCAAAAGATAATTTTGCAAGTCAAAAAAAAAAAAATGTCGTAAAACTGTGAAGTAACACATTTGTTTGTGTGAAACGCTCAATGAACTACATCTCTGGTCAACAACACACGTCACCAAGATGGCCGTCACTACTGTCTTGTCAACAAAACGATTGACTACCCTCACTATCACCACAATGAAACACATCCTGAAGAATGTCATGCAAAGCTGCCTGCCTGCCTTCCTTTGATTCTCTCTGAACTGCCTGGTCGTTTTAATGTTTAATGTCAACCATTTGTGCAGATAGCATGAAGTAGAGAAGATCGCCGATGCTAACATTAGCGTTAGCATTTCTCCCCCGGGCTTAAATGGTGTATTATAGAATGATCACACCGGTGACAGTACTATTCAAAGGGTTCACAAAATATGACTACTACTCTTACTGTTTAACATTTTGGGTTACTTAATGTTACTTCATGTTAAGGCTAATACAAATGACAAGGCTGTAATGCTAACTAACGTGCTAGCTACTAGCTAGGTAGCTAACTTGATCAAGCCACTCCTGGTCCTTTCATCAGACGGGAAGCAAAAGAACGAGCAAGACCCATTGCTGGTATAATAACAACCTGGTACTAAGCACACAGGCATCTTGTTAAAGTTATCTTATCTTAGCCAGCGCCATATAGATAGATTATATCTATATGGCGCTGATCTTAGGTATCTGAATGGTGGAGGAAAACAATTGTGACATCACTTACGCGACTCTGGGATTTGTAGTCTTTCTAGTTACGTATTTTTCATAGTCTTATATTTCAACAGTTTTACGACAAACTGTGACTTTTTTGACATGGAAATAATTTTTTAAGATTGACAAACATCATATGTGTAATTCATGGCACAATTCAAACGGGATCGAAAGATAAGTTTTCTCTCTCCATTGACTTCAATACATTATTTTTCCGAAATAAGGTCCCATGGGGCGGAAGTAGATGGGCGTGACTTCGCCACTCTATAATAAGAGGTCCAGCTGCGGCCGCGGCAAGTACACGACACTACACGACACGCCCCCTACACGACACGCCCACCTGACACGACACTACGGTGGCTGAGAGACATTACCGTACATGGCAGATTAAAAGTGAATTGACGACACTACACGACACGCCCCCTACACGACACGCCCACCTGACACGACACTACGGTGGCTGAGAGACATTACCGTACATGGCAGATTAAAAGCGAATTGACGACACTACACGACACGCCCCCTACACGACACGCCCACCTGACACGACACTACGGTGGCTGAGAGATCGTACATGGCAGATTAAAAACGAATTGCAAATGTTATTGTAGCATTTTAAGCAACTATTAGGCAAACAAATTAATAACCTAGTCTATCCGTTTGAGACACAACAGTATAACTTTCAACCCAAATCATTTTGTCAACAAACGGTGGTTTAGTAAACTTTTTTTTAATATATAAAATAGGTATTAATGAGATAATCTATTAATTATGTTTGTCTAACTGCTACACATGTATTTATACATAAATGTAGATATTTGTGAACATCTAAATATAGTTGTTAAAGGTTTTAAGATATACATAATCACATCATGGGGTCATTAAGGACCAAATTAGGAGGGCCAGTCAGGCCACTAATGAGCTCAATCATTCACATGTATTATTATTACTTTATAAATGAAAAGTACTAGGGGTCTATTACAAAACCTTTGAAGGAATCGTCATGCATTCTGAATGTTTCTGTACTTTAAAAACATCATGGCTCAAGATCCTGTTCTTGTTCAAGATTATTCATACTCATTTGTGAATTTAACATCCATATTCACTCAAAACTGAAACACCAACATTTTTTTTGAAAGCATTGCAGGCCTAAAGCTCCACGTCAGTGACCTATATTTTAATTTCTTCCATCAAACTTTAAAAATGGCAAACAGCATGTTTTTAAAGATTTAATCTTTTAAGAAACAAAATATCAAATTTGAACAGAAGGGTTTAAAAACACGTTTTTAATGCAAATAAACTTGAAACATAAACCTATTTGTCATTTCAAAATTCACTTGTATTGTCTGCGTGAAAGGCACAGTAGGCTATGAGCGAATACATATCAACATTAAAAAAATGACAAAGTCGTACAATATATACCATGTGCTACTGTCTAGGATTAAGTATGATGAGACTTTTTTTAAGGAGGGACCCCAGAGCCAAGGGCAGGCCGAGCAGACCGCCTTCTCCCGCCGCAGGCTTCCCCGGTGATGGGCTCCGCCTCCGTGTAACAAGTCCCCTCAGTCTGTGCGGGGAGCTGCACCACGGTGATGCTGCTGTCATCGCTCGCCTCTCCTCCGGTGGGTATGAGGTGTGATTTATGCCAAAGAACGAACTCACTGAGCAGACAATCGTGCCGATCGTCGCCTACCATGCCGTGAACTATGCCGCGAGAGAAGTAACGTGACACTCTCGTCGCCACCCCTCTCGTCTGAGAAGCTACGTGACGTCTGCGTCTGAAGTTACTTTACTTTGGTAGTTATCACCAAATAACCCAGTAATGTTACAGCTACGTTGCTGTTCAAGCTAGACTCTATTTCAATATAGTTTTGGTATTAAAATAATGTTACACCTCTTGTATGCCCTGAATGCAAAAACAACCACAGACAAGAATATATCTTTTTAATTATCAAAATGATAACAAAGGCTGAAAAAAACAGGAGAAGCCTGTCTTCCCTTGGTCTCCAGGAGAAAACGCCACTGTATATCACCAAGTTTTCATATAGTTTTGTGTGTGAAATAGATCGCTGCAGTGAACACGACTTTATGTATTTGTTTATGGTTTATTTGATTTGGAGGGATGCAGTATACATAGAAGTTCAGAGAAGAGGCAACCCCTATATATTGTTTATTTTATTTCATTTCATTTTGGCACCATGGCAGAGGCAAATATAGAGTTAATGTGCGGAGATTATAATGTCCCGTTTACTAAAATATGTATTGTTTTATGATGTTTAGTTGACAAAATAGTCACTGTGCTACATTTTGCTGCACTCAAGCATACATCTGAAGACAAGAGTTGTGTCCCCCTTTGGCCACAAGGGGGAGTATATATATATATTGTATATATATATTTTGTATAGATGTTGCAACTATACAGAGCTTTGGCAATACTATATGTAACTGAGGTCATGCTAATAAAGCTATTGAATTTAATTGAGTATACCTTTAAGTGAGCTGTCAGGAGGAAACAAAGGTTCGCCAACACATTGCACTTTAATGCTGAGAAAGGCTGTACAAAGACGTGAAACGATGTGCTGAATGTCTGTGTATTTTTGAAGAATGCCAAGTAAAGGAAGAAAGTAATAACTCGCACTGAGTCTTAATACATTACTTTATTTCTATTATATAGAAACACTATCCAATGATTTATTATGTTTGTGTTACACACACACCATTACTGAATTAATTCTAAAACCAAGAATAACCTACATACAACAATAAGGAGCCCTGGCTCAAGGACGGACAAAACAAGGACACCACACATAATTATTTTCTAATTACAGTATATTTATTTAAAGAGAGTAACTCAATTGTGATATCAGTTAATCAGTAATGTGTGGTAGTGTGATGTGTCAGCAGGGCCGGATAGGTCAGGCCGGGAATTATACACCCAGCCAGGCCACTACCAGTTTTGTTTGGGGGCGTTTTGCCGGATGTACATGTATCATCAATATTTACAACGTTGCTGCCCGTAGTGATAGCCCTACAGTTTGAATCTACTACTTAAATAGAAACATATGCATAGAATATTGTTAAAAAAAAGGTGTGCATATGTATTTGGGAACCTTTCCATGTGAACATGTTTTATTTGGGGGTGGACCTCAAATGGATTAAACTCTGATCAATAACTATAGTAACTTATTGAGAGAACATGAACATAGCTTGCTTATACTGTTGTCATTACATTTCCTTTGTTTTGTTCAGTGTTTTCATAGACATAGCCTATTGAAACAGTTTCCTCTGTACCTGCCAGTTCTGTCCACTGAGCTCTGCCTGCATCTCTCCCTCAGGGTCATCACCATCAGCATCATCTGATAGTGGAACTGAATAAGGAGAATAGGTAATCATTACATTAACAACTATTTATGAAATAACATTATTCAAGAACATACATTATGCAACACTTATTTATCACTTAGTTGACCCTGTATTTGCATGGCCTAATACCATAATGATTGTCTCCCCTTTAGACAACATAACCATCTCAAGTTATTCACTCACAGTATGAGGGTTTGTAGCCCCACAGTTAGCTGCAGTCTAACGGTTATATTACATATATTTGCCTTGAGTAACATTAAGGACATGTTTGGGTTTTGTGTAGCCTTATAGTCTCCAGTCACACAGGGCCTGCCACTAACTTAGCATTGGACTGAGAAACTGTTTTGTTGACAGTCGATGTGCACATCAGGCTACAATATAGAAAGAAATGTAGCTCATAATGTTCGCTCACTTACTTTCTGCTTCGTCATTCTATACCATAGAATAAATCAGTGATTTTAGCACATTTCGCTGCCTTTTTTTGCAGGATGGGGGTCCATCCTTCCACAATAATTAACCTTGCCGTCAGTTTCAGTCGGTCCAGTCCACACTAATGTAAACAGCAGCGCGCTGGTCTCGTGAGAAACGGAGAGTGGAACAACCAATCACATCTTCATTATTCTCCTGAAATTTAAATGTGCCCATTCGCTAGTCTGACACATAGACTGTATATATAAAGGTCTGGTCTGACAGGTGCGTGGTTCTCACTGCGCTTCATACCGGTGCAACTTTGAACACCTTCAATATATGCCGCATTAATTGATTTGGCCTGCAGTCACCGCATCTGGGCTGAATTAAAACACGTATTATTTTAGTCCTGTGTGTTTATTAGAGGCCATGTCAGCAGGCCACATCACATCATGCCAGCGTTGCGTTCACAAGACATACAAGCCACAAACTGGCAATCGAAACATGCTACAACCTGAGGGACAGTGAATGAGACACACAGACACAGACACACCCACACACACCTTGAGGGAGGGAGGGACAGCTGATCGCCGTGCAGCGATCAGCTGTTCCCGAGCAGAGAGAGAGAGAGCTGCTAGACACAACTCTTATTAATCCCCGTACCGGACAATTGTTATTTGTTCCAATCGGAACCGGATTTCGGTTCCCGATCCTCATCACATCCCCAGCCACAGCCGTGGTCTTAACCGGTCTTGACATAAAATCTCGAGTCCTATAGGTCCGATACAGAGACAATACGAACCAAATGCAGTCGATTCCGAGACCAATACCGTTAAAAAGTGGTCTGGAGACCGGTCTCGAGTACAACACCAGCAAATATTCTCATACTAATGATTATTAATTATTATTCCCCTCTCTTCTGATACCAATACTGTGCCGATGAGAAAGTGTAGGCTACCTGTAACACTCTCCAAACTAGGAGCAGAATAATTCGAAAAATATAATATAGGATAATTCTATACAATGCTAACGGAGGCGAGACGTACGTTATTCACGCGCTTATCCACACGTACGTTATTCACGCGCATATCCACACGTACGTTATCAACACGCATATCTAAGATAGCACTTTCTAAGCTACGCCGCCGCCACGTGAGCTCGTACTTTGAGCGCACCTATGATACGTCGCCGTGACGTCTGACGTCTGACAACGTCGTGACGTCGCCTGTATTGTACGTCAACCCATTCAAAATTGATGGAGGCGTTGGCGCACATTGACACGTCAGTTCTCCGCTCAGTGAGCTTAGTTATCTGTTCTTTGGCACAAATCACACCTCATACAGTGGTGCCCTCGGCTCCCTCCGCCGCCACACTGCCCAGCACACTGGAGATCACTAATGTCTCTCAGCCACCGTAGTGTCGTGCCAGGTGGGCGTGTCGTGTAGGGGGCGTGTCGTGTAGTGTCGTGTACTTGCTGTGGCCGCAGCTAGACCATATTGCATTAGCTGACAGAAGAGCCTCCCTGCTCCCGAGAAGAAGAACAACAAAGTCCCACCATGGCTGTTTTGTGGATTAAATTGTGACAACTACCGACAAGATGATGAACGACACCATAGAGGAACCGGAGAAGGACACCGGTTTTGGTTAACCGAAAAAAGAAACATTCATGTGTACAGTGTTACAAATGTATTGAACATGTACAAACGGGTTTCCCATTAATGTACCGGGTGCTACAGTGGAACACGCACATACACAGTGTACCCGCGACTCACAATGAAGGCTCGATAATCAGCTCACAGCATATAAAATGGCATATAGGTGTAAGCAGAGGTAAAGTGCTATTTTATAAGTGGGGGGGGGGGGGGGGTCCTCACCTCCTAGGGGGGTCCGGGGGCATGCTCCCGGGAAGATTTTTAAATATTGAAGTTAAATGCATCAACCTGCTGCATTTTGAGAGCAAAATGAATTCATGGATACCTCTCTCAACACCCATATGAAACAGAACTGTAAACAGATTTTCTTTTTCTTTATGGATATTTTACAAATCACTCCCCTTTAAACTGTATTCTTGTTTTACTGTCATAAAGTATATCATAACTGTTTTTCATTTATTCTCGTAAATGGTGACCAAACCGTTTGAGACCCACTGAGATAACTAGACTAAAGTGAACTATCTAAACAGAGAGTCCCTTACCTCACTGAGCTGTAGTTATCTCTCTCAGTCTGACAGGAAAGAAGATTTACATTATAAATATTCCCCAAAATTATTCAAAAGCAGATTCTTCAAAACTCTCTGCTGTAGTATGACCACCAGGAGACTATTGATGTGTGTAGTGAGTTTGGTAGTAATAAGCTGTATAATAGTGATTGAATATTATTGTATTCTCTTTTTTCGGAGTTGCACTTTGCAGACGGTCCCTGAGCACTCCAGCTCGGAGGACGGCGTGTATTGGCTTTTTTTGATCAAAATAGGATGTAGTTCGTTGTCAACCTTACCACGGTACTTAGGAGACGTCATTTGTGTCTAAATAACGTTTTGTTCACGAGTTATTGATCCGTGAAATCAGAATCTCCCAATATCGTTCCAACTTTACTGAACTAAGCCAGAAGACCGTCTCATTTCGTAGACCGCTCGGTTTGCTGTTCCTTCACTTTATTTTTATATACATTTATTTTGGACGAAAACTTAGCATGAGGAAAAGCAAGTGTGGCGTGAGTGCGTGAGATATGGGTTAATTGCGTGACTCTCATGCTCAATGCGTGAGTGTTGGCAGCCCTGCTGCTAAAGATAGCCCGGCTAACGCTAGCTTGTAAATAGAAACTGGGAGGCTAGTTGAAGACGGTTTTTATGAATGGGCGTAGTGGCCAAACGGGGGTACTACAACTTCAAGGATGTCACTGGTATAAAAACAGCTTTATTCCAGCAGCAAATTGAAGTATAATAATTAATAAAGAACAATTAATAATAAAATCTTGGCAAGTTATGTGGAACAACAACTCAAAGGCTAGAGTTTATAAGAAAAGTAAGACTGCGCATGCGCTATGGGCCCACGTCCGGGTATTTTCTGAACCTACAGTCGCTCTATTTTTGGCTTCAAGCGCCACCGAGCAACTCTCATAGGAATGAACGCCTCTCTCTTTTTATTCATCCATAGGCTAGCTGCTAGCTGATTTGCTTAGCATGGGATTTTGACAGTTGTTTATATTAGTCGTGTTTACAAAATGAAGTGTTTCTCTTTTTCGTAAAACAATGCTAAGATTGAGTTTGATTGACATTAAGTGACATTATATAGTTGGCCCGTAAACACCTACAGTGTTATACTTTCTTATTCCATAAACAGAACTGCTGGGGACATCTGGAGGAGTTTTCACTTTTTTAGAGACAGTTATAGAGTAACTTTTGTAGGAGTGGAAGAACTACTTAGATATCTAACTTAAGTAAAAGTAGCTTAATAGAAAACATACTATGTTACAAGTAAAAGTCGTGCATTCAAAAAGTATTGCCTCAAAACTAAGTACTGAAAGTACTTATTGTGTGTAATGTCCCATTTAAAAGTTATATACATATGAATGTGTTTATCATGCAGCTTGTACAGGTAGAGCTCATTGTAATGCCTTTATATGCTGTTATTGGATATCTTAACCTTTAATTGTATATCTTAGTTTATGTATAGTTTGGTATGAGCTAATAATCTGAATCTGTAAAGTATCTAGAAACTCATTTTGTTAAACAAATGTAGTAAAAAGCACAATATTGGCTTCCAAATTGAAGTATAACTCATATAAAGTACAAGTACCTGAGTTAATGCATTTTAAAATCATTACACATAGCTAAAGTACACTTTAAAATGTAAATACTGTTCCAAGTAAAACGCCTATTCAAAAGTTACTTAACTACCCATTGATTCTCATCAAAATACCTAAAGTACCAAACAAAGTACTTATTTTGCACAAAGGCCTTTTCCAAAATACTGTTTACTTTAACAAATTGGATTTTTATTTGTTTAAGCATTAGTTATGGCAGCTGGTAAAAGAAGAGCTATTTTAAAACGATGTATACAGTGTTTGTTAGAGCCGTGTTTACTTTAAGGTCATTATGGTTTGAATGTTTGGCTTATTAATATAAGGCTTTAGATTCAAATAACTATTTATCTTTCGTGAATTACACTAGGGTTTAAAAGATGAACCTTTAGATGATTAATACGTTGATTGAAGTCTCTCTTTTTGCTGTGAAATGTGCGCTATCAAGGAGGATTAGACGGGGATCGTCTCATCACATTATATCATGTAGAATTGTCAGAGAGAAACCATGATATATTAATAGAACAATAATGTCATTGTTAGCTAATGAATGTTTCCATGCTGAACAACGGCAACATGACAAACGTTTTCATTGGTCCCTCTTCTTTAGAGAAGACCAGGAAATGATGGATATACGGATCGTGTTCAAATCAATAGGCACGCAATGACTCTAATATTTGTGTCTCTTGTATTATTTAAAAACATTGTAAATGAACCTCTGTATGTCATGTTTTCAGCTCCATTGGCCTCCAGATGTTACTCTCCCACGGCCGGGTGGAGACGGACGAGGAGTTTGACGCCGGCTGGGTGACGTACTTCAGCAAACCTGACATCGATGCCTGGGAGCTGAGGAAAGGTACCTTTGTGCTTTTTAAATATCTTCTGATGATGTGTCCTCGCTCTGTTGTTAATAGTGTGGTTCATGTTATGGTTATAGTTGGGGTTTCATTCATTGGGGTGTGGACAAAAGAATACATTCTGTCAAAAGTTAGACCTATTTTCAGTCAATCTGGTCAAGTGTTCTGGTTGTTATAAGCCCCAATGTTTCTAGGAGTTGGGTTTTATTCCCACTTTTAACAAAACTGTGTGTATTGTTTGGATAAAATGGTGCAATATAATGGTTGCTCTTCTTCTTATTGCTTATTCTAAATATAGTACAGGCAAGAGATGCAAATAAAGGACACAGCAGGACATTTAGATGAGAACACCAGGTCAAGCTAAATAAAATATATGAATAATATTAAATAAATAACCCAAAACAAAACTAAAAGGATCCCTAACGCACCACACTCTGAACTACACACAGATATAATCAAAGTTACTGAGGGTACCTGAACGCACCACACTCTGAACTACACACACATATAATCAGAGTTACTGAGGGTCTCTGAACGCACCACACTCTGAACTACACACACACACAGCTGGGTTACTGAGGGTCCCTGAACGCGCCACACTCTGAACTACACACAGATATACTCAAAGTGACTGAGGGTCCCTGAATGCACCACACTCTGAACTACACACACATATAGTCAAAGTTACTGAGGGTACCTGAACGCACCACACTCTGAACTACACACACACACAGCTGGGTTACTGAGGGTCCCTGAACGCGCCACACTCTGAACTACACGCAGATATACTCAAAGTGACTGAGGGTCCCTGAACGCACCACACTCTGAACTACACACACATATAGTCAAAGTTACTGAGTGTCCCTGAACGCACCACACTCTGAACTACACACAGATATATTCAAAGTTACTGAGGGTCCCTGAACGCACCACACTCTGAAAAAGGATCCCTTCAACATTTTTAAATAACTAGGTTGACGGTCCAATACACTCAAGAACCAAAGACACACACATACGATATGCATATTATATTTATTGTCCCCATTTCATGTTTTGTAATGGCTTGTGGCAATATTATGAATGGTGTCATTATGCTGCTGTCAAATCCTAGTCTCAGTACGATACCAGTCACCTCTGTGGAAACATTGGTACAACTGCCTTTTTCATTTATATTGAAGTGTATGTCTTTTAAAAATTGATCTTGAGTCTCTTCAATAAAAGCTGACGAATATCTTCTCCACAAGAAATTGTCTTAAAGTATTTTTCATGAACCTTAAATTCAGACGACTCTTGCTAATGATTGCTAATTCTTTGAAGTAATACATTTGTTTTTGTAATGAATGTAACCCTGAAGGCATGAACACCCTGATCGGGTACGACCTGGTGCCCGAGGCTAAGATCGTGGACTCGGCGCTCAGAGCGTGCCGGAGACTGAACGACATGGCCAGCGCCATCCGTATCCTGGAGGCCGCTAAGGTGAGATCACTCATCGAATTGTGGAAGAAATGAGGCCCTATGTCTCTTCCTAACCACTCTTACTTAATGTCCATGAGAATGTTCAAGATTCAAGGCTTTTATTGTCATGTGTACATAGCTACAGTTTAGATATGTCAATGGAAATCTGAGGCTCCTCCAACAGTGAAACACAGTAAAACAGATAAAATAGTGCAAAGGCAAGTTTATTTATATAGCACCATTCAACACAAGGGAATACAAAGTGCTTTACAAACATGAAAGGACATTAAGAGCATTAAACACATTAGAAACATTAAAAATATATTAAAACATGAATAACACAGGTACATGAATAAAAGGTAAGATGTGAATAGTTCAATTAAAAGCAGCGGCAAAAAGAAAAGTCTTCAGCCTGGATTCAAAAGTAGTAAAGAGTGCAAGTAAATACAAATACAATAGAATATAATAGAACTAGTGCAAGAATAGTCTATAAGATGCAAACAGATGAATGTTCTGGATGTTCTTTCCAAAGCTCAGGTGTTCAACAGTCTGATGGCCTGTGGGATGAAACTGTTCTGGTATAATAACATAATGATCTGGGATTAAAGGAAGTAGTGAAGGAGAATTCATCAGGACACTGGGAGACGTTATGATGAGACGGAGGGTGTTTTGGATGTGCCTCTGTTGTGGGAAAACTACAAAGCGACGAAAAGCACATCTAGATACTTGAGTCTGTGCATAGCATGTTGTTTCTTGAGGGTTTCATAAATGTGTAAAGCTAATTGGTTGCATGAAAGCCATTTAGTATCATTGTATATAACGGCTTTGAATAAATAATACTCTATGGAATATATATATACATAAACACTTATCTTTTGTAAAGGATGGTCCAGTGTTTCCTTAAGGAGGCAACAAGGGAAGCAAGGTGCCCACTGAGAGACTTCTAGGTCAATTCACTCTGTTAGGAACATTTCTGAGTAAAAGATGAATAAAATAGTGCGAGAGAATGATTTGAGATGTGCAAGTAAATACAAATAGAATAGAAATAGTGCAAGAAGAGTCTATATACAAGTACATGGAATCTGATATATTAGATAAATAATTAGCAAGATGCAAACAGGTGAATGTTTATGGATGTTCTTTAAAAAGTGCAGGTGTTTAATAATCTCATGGTGCAATATAATGGATTGAAGTAGAGAACAATATTATCACCGTAGTATTCCCATGTGTTGTGTATGGAAAGACTTGTTGTTTATTTGATTACTAGATGCTAATTGTTGTTTAAACCAATCCTAAAGGAGGGCTTCAGTCCATATGTATTGCTGATCGCTGTAAGTAGTGTACGCTGTGTTCTCCATAACAACATCCTCTTCATTTGTTATTTCCTCTGTGTCTTTCAGGACAAAGCCGGCCCCCACAAAGAGATCGACCCGTACCTGATCCAGGAGCTGTAGCCCACGCTGTCAGAGCTCAGCATCTCCACTCCAGAACAGCTCGGCATGGACAAGTTATAGACCCTCCAGGTGACGATGCTCTCATTACAACATGTGTTTTTAGCACATCTCTGCACACGTGTCTCAGGGACAGTTTCACCCCAGAAATGACTCTACATCAGGGGTCTCCAAACCTCAGCAGATAAAGAAAGTATAATGGAATACGGCCCACAAATGAAACTTGTGCTCGTCTTATATTGTACTTCTTAAATACATATGTACAAATATATTACACAGTAGTATTCATGTGTTAATGAGACCACTTTTCTAATAAAGCTGGAAACATTTTCTAACAAATCTTAGTTGATAAGAAAAAGCCCAATGACTTATTTCCATAACAAGCTTGAAACACACCGTTCCTATTCCTCCTTATTTTAATCAATCTGAAGCTTCTGTTTTAAGGGATGAGCTGCCAACACTCACGAGCATCATTTACCTACATTTGATTGGTTTTGCTAACTTATAAATGAACTTATGAGGCAATGAACCTCTACTGAGGGGCCCAGCCCTTCGTATATTTTTCTGTATGTGGCCCTCAGTGAAAAAAGTTTGGCCACCCCCTGCTCTATTTACTAATTACTCTTCTTTGTAACTCACTTTTAAATCGGTTTTCAATCAATGTGTTTGGAGTCAGTTCTATCTCACACAGGCTCCGCCCTCTACTGGACTCTATGCGTACTACTCTTCATCAATGACACGCGAGTGTTCTCACACTGAATTTACATAAATGTAGCTGGCCAATCAGGGCGAGCCTACCCAAATGCGCGCGCAGGCCTCACAGTATATAAGGCAGCTACACCTCCGACTGTCATCCTTTTCTCTTCAGAGACACACCTGACCAGAGAAACATGTAGAAGTATCTTACCTCTCCAAGAGCAAGCAAATGGAGTCGCGGCCCACACTCCACAGTGACTCGTTTGCGGAGTTTCACGGTGAAATTGACATCGTAATTTCGACGGTTTTGGGCGCGAGTTTAAGGATACGATGATACGCCTCACTTTATATTTAAAAAGGAGAGTATCGAAAACCGGATCTGATTTTATATGTATACCGTACTAGCCGCCAGTAACCGGTATTTCGGTAATTAGGTTATTTTGTATTTAAATGTATATTTTGTACCTCTTTTTGCAACTTATGGTCTGAAGTTGTTTATGTTTGCACCACAATACACCAGAGCTAATCCCTCTGTGTGTACCTGGTGATAAACTTGATTCTGAATTCAGGAAGTTAATGTGTGTTAAAATGTGCAGCAGCTCATGAATGATATTGCTTTTGACTTCCTCTCATCTGAACATGTCTCCTTCTCCTCTCTCCTCAGGTCCTTGGATGTATAACGAGATGACGATGAGCTCTTCTGATTCCCCACTTTAAATATGTCTATATATTGTTGATCAAATCCATGCTTTCCTGTTGTGTACAAAATGGTGGACCTAATAATAAAGAAACCAATAATTTAAGAACGTGTGTTGTTCTTTTAGTTTTGTATATAAATGCATCATGTTTTCCAAGTTGATCAAATAAACTCATTTATACAAGATTAAAACATTGTTTATCTATCTTGGTCAAAGTGTTGATGAAGCAGTTTGTACCTTTTGGTACAAACTTAGCGGGCTAACTTCAGGGAAAACTCTGGGTTTCCGGTCCTACGACGCTGGTTCTCTTTTTAGCGGGCTAGATCTCCATGGTAACTTATGCTGAGCGGCTAGCCTGGTCCGGAGCAGGTTAGGTTGCAGGCTAAGAGATCAAGTCAGTGAAAGCACCGCCTGCTGACCAATCAGAGCTCAGGAGAAAGGAAATACAGTTTAAACTGCTGTTGCAGGAAAGACGGCCGGCAAACTGACTGTGAACGTGAACATTAATAGAATATCACCTCCCATCTTCAGAGCAATCTCACTATTATAACATTAGCGTTAAGAAAGCTTACTTAAATATCTGCCACAATATAAGTAACCGGATCAGAGTAACATTACGTACAGTCCGCGGCACTGAGTGCAGACGTCGATGTGTCATTCATATCACATCATAATGTATCATATATTTCCTTATCTGAGTCAGCTTCTTGAGCCGTATCTGGCCATGCAACACTCACAGTGTCACATACTGTATGCAGAAGTATTATTTTAAGCAACACATTAAGTTGACGAAACACTCGAGTCAGTAATTAAAGTCAGATCCACTCGTGTCTTATACGGGGCAGTGATATCATAAACCTGTTAATGTACGCATTCAACCACTTTTTCTTTTACCAGCTGTATTCACCTTGCAGGTGCAGCTATGTGGCTTTTATCCTGGATAAAGTGTTTAAAGGTCCCATGTCTTGGCCATTTCTATTGATCATAATTCCATTGTTGAGGTCTACTAAAATAGATTTATACCGTGCAATTTTCCAAAATCACATTGGTTTCTCATACAGCATCTCTGTAAAGTATGTGTATTCACCGGTATTCACTCTCTGTCCTAAACGGCTTGTTGGAGCTCCTGCCCCCCCCTCCCTGTGAGCCCAGTGTGCTCTGATTGGTCGAGACGTTGAGAGGCTCGTTGCTGCTCACAGCTGCTGCGAGGAGCGGACAGGCTTCCGTGTCGGCGATACAGCGAGAACAAGCGAAACTCATCCTGAGCACACACAAACACTCACAGCCGAAGTAAAAACAATAAGTGTGGCTTGATATTGAGTAAGAAAAAGGTTTATAACGCTGTGAGAATGGGTCTGCGGAGAGCATTTCTCCGCGATCCCAACGTAGTAGCCCGAAAAACGTTTACCCATTTAAACAGTCGTGGTAGATACCTTGTTTGTTTTTAAACATCATAAATTCACAAACAACAATGAATACTTACAGGTTGTGTACCCGAATCTCCCGCTGGTCCAAACAAAGTAGGAACAGCATCGTTCTTTGAGGTTTTCTTTTTACTTTGCAGACCGTTTACATGCATAAAAACCTTCATAACACACAAGGGGACGGGTAATAACCGGAAAAGCATGACATGGGACCTTTAATGTTTAATGTTGTTTTTATAGGCAATCATTTATGCTTTGTTAGTTCCAGGTTTAATATGTACAATAAGTTAATTTCTATAAGTTTTGCAATAAACATTGAACCAGTCCGGCCCTCGACTAGTACCGATTTTTAAAATGTTGGCCCACTGTGTATTTGAGTTTGACACCCCTGCTCTAGATGATAGGAAAGGAGGTTTGAAACTTCCTTTATAACCTCCTTTAGCTTAGGAACCACTGGACCTCCCTCACCGAAAGGAGAGGAGAACATGCTTTCCCACAATGCCTTGCGGCCGCAGCATTTACCATCACACAACATTCGGCCGTTCACGGAAACAACCGATTATGACCGAGAAATGATATCATGAAAGTTACGGTGCTTATTAAGCATTTTAAAACGTATGTGGTAACGTGCCAAAGTGCTTTGTTTTGAACGTTCATCAGTATTATAATCAAAAAGAGAAATATGAACGTTAGTTTTTACTGAAATGATCAAATTAAGTCAACATTTCAGTCTTTACTGAGCTGTGTGGGGTTTGTTCAACTTTTAAAAGATGTTTGAATGGTGATATACACAGTGATAGATGGAGGACTAACGTTTATAATAAATACATTTATATTTATTTTAACATCTTTTCATACAATCATACGTATTGGGATCATTTGTATTAATGTGGACCGGAGGGAGAGGGTGACGAGCATAAGTTTCACTTTCCTTTTTTATTTCAATTCCAACCTCGTTCATGAAGAATATGTTTCTCTGTTGTCCACGTTCATAAAGCATAACACAACAGCATCAGAGCACGGTGCAGAGTCTCTAGATGAGTTTACAATAGTCCGTCGTTCTTATTATACATCCATGTTGTAGTCCGCTGTATAGAAAACTGTAGTTTCCCCACAGTAGCAGACTCACATTTATGACGTCCGCGCGCATCATAAATACGTAGATAGTGAAAGTGCAGTTGGATTCTCAAAGCACCGCAGTCTCTTCTCCGAAATCCTTTTGAATTCTCTTATCCACTATCCCTTAACCCCGTGACGTTTCGCACAGAGGTTAAGGAATAGACGATAAGGATAGATGATAGGAGCTGATTTTTTGACTATTCGACTGCAGCCCAAAGCCCTATAGAGTGGCGAAGTCCCTCCCCTTCCGGTGGACCTCCATGGGACCTTATTTCGGAAAAATTATGTATTGAAGTCAATGGAGAGAGAAAGATTATCTTTCGATCCCGTTTGAATTGTGCCACGAATTACACATATGATGTTTGTCAATTTAAAAGATAATTTTGCAAGTCAAAAAAAAAAAAAATGTGTCGTAAAACTGTGAAGTAACACATTTGTTTGTGTGAAACGCTCAATGAACTACATCTCTGGTCAACAACACACGTCACCAAGATGGCCGTCACTACTGTCTTGTCAACAAAACGATTGACTACCCTCACTATCACCACAATGAAACACGTCCTGAAGAATGTCATGCAAAGCTGCCTGCCTGCCTTCCTTTGATTCTCTCTGAACTGCCTGGTCGTTTTAATGTTTAATGTCAACCATTTGTGCAGATAGCATGAAGTAGAAAAGATCGCTAGCGTTAGCGTTAGCATTTCTCCCCCGGGCTTAAATTGTGTATTATGGAATGACCACACCGGTGACAGTACTCTTCAAAGGGTTCACGAAATATGACTACTACTCTTACTGTTTAACATTTTGGGTTACTTAATGTTACTTCATGTTAAGGCTAATACAAATGACAAGGCTGTAATGCTAACTAACGTGCTAGCTACTAGCTAGGTAGCTAACTTGATCAAGCCACTCCTGGTCCTTTCATCAGACGGGAAGCAAAAGAACGAGCAAGACCCATTGCTGGTATGATAACAACCTGGTACTAAGCACACAGGCATCTTGTTAAAGTTATCTTATCTTAGCCAGCGCCATATAGATAGATTCTATCTATATGGCGTTATCTTATCTTAGCTATCTCTATTTTAGTGGAGGAAAACAATTGTGACATCACTCTGGGATTTGTAGTCTTTCTAGTTGCGTATTTTTCATAGTCTTATATTTCAACAGTTTTACGACAAACTGTGACTTTTTTGACATGGAAATTATTTTTTAAGATTGACAAACATCATATGTGTAATTCATGGCACAATTCAAACGGGATCGAAAGATACGTTTTTTCTCTCCATTGACTTCAATACATTATTTTTCCGAAATAAGGTCCCATGGACCGGAAGTAGATGGGCGTCTACTCTATAGAGTGGCGAAGTCACTCCCCTTCCGGTGGACCTCCACTCAAAAAAGTCAGAGTTTGTCGTAAAACTGTTGAAATATAAGACTATGAAAAATACGCAACTAGAAAGACTACAAATCCCAGAGTCGCGTAAGTGATGTCACAATTGTTTTCCTCCACTAAGAGATAGCTAAGATCAGCTGGCTAAGATAAGATAACTTTAACAAGATGCCTGTGTGCTTAGTACCAGGTTGTTATCATACCAGCAATGGGTCTTGCTCGTTCTTTCGCTTCCCGTCTGATGAAAGGACCAGGAGTGGCTTGATCAAGTTAGCTACATAGCTAGTAGCTAGCACGTTAGTTAGCATTACAGCCTTGTCATTTTTATTAGCCTTAACATGAAGTAACATTAAAGCTCCCATGTCATGCTTTTCCGGTTATTACCCGTCCCCTTGTGTGTTATGAAGGTTTTTATGCATGTAAACGGTGTGCAGAGTCAAAACCCTCAAAGTACACCCTGTAGCGAGTAAAACTCTAACACAGAAAATACCTCCCCAAAACGCCTCGTTGGAGATACGTCACTGCCCATTTGATTCTTCCGGGTACCGCCTGATGTCATGCGGTACCCGGAACGAAATGGACCAATCCCGAAGAGCTATGGCCACACCAGCAGCGGCGTGTTCCTCCTCCAGAGGTTCGAAGAACCGGCATTTCACAGACGAAAGCTTCCAAAACATTGCCCAGTTTGAGGCCGGATATGCACAGCTTGTTTGGACCGTTTGGAGCAGGGGAAGATCTGGGTATACAACCTGTAAGTTTGCATTGTTATTTGTGTATTTATCAAACAAGACTGTTTAAATGTGTAAACTGTGTTGGACTGCTAAGCCATTGACACAGTGCTAACTGTGCTAACTAAGTTGCTAGAGTTTCCATATATCAACTCTAATATCAGCAGATGGCCTTGCATACATGTATCTCATAGCAGGAGAATGTCTGCATTCACACACAAAATACCTATTGACAGTATACTCCGGGTGATTTGCCGGTCAGTCGCGAAACGTAATTACATTATAGCTGGCGTAGCGATCTAACACACGGAGCTAGAGCTAGTTTTGGTCGGAAAAAACATTTTTGAGATGCTACGTTGCTAGCGTTTAAATATATCAACTACAATGTCAGCAGATGGCCTTACATGTTTGTCATGGCAGGAGAATGTCTGCAGTCACACACACGGAATACTCATACAGTATACTCTACTGTGATTTACCGTACATTGTGACCGTATGTAGCTAACGAGGCTAGCTGTATGCTAGCGCAAAACAATGTATTCATGCAAGTTACATTGTATGGTAGCAGAATACCCGTATACGATTGCAATTATAAACACGTTATTGCTAGCCTAATATGAACCACTAGCTTTTGTTCATAGTAGTTTTATTACACTGCATTATAGTTGCCTTTCCTCCAAGCTAACGTTCATATCGTGTTAGCTACCAAGGTAAACAAAGCTAGGTTAGCATATTAGCAGGCAAGCTGTTCATTACACAACTACTACTAACGAATCTAAAACAACTAAGTTTCTCTAATATTTTGTGATTTGCATTTGATTTCGTCCAGCCAGATCCTGGCGGACAATCCATGACGGGGAAGGGACTTCGACTACTACTGAGGCTTCGTGCTAAAAGGCACCGCACCGACTGTGCGCAGGCAAGATGCGAGGAGGAGGAATGAATGATATACCGTGTGTATATATGTATATTTATGTTCATTTTGTACATTTCTAAAAATAAAGTTTAATGGAAATACTTAGTAGGCCTATCCTTTCTTCCCTGAATTCATATATAGCAAACCATGATTTGATTTCTCATCAAACAGTAGTAGTTTATAACGGGTAAAAATAACTTACTCTTTGTTATGAGAGTAGCTCGTAGGCCACAACGGAAAGACAAGGAGACATACACGAGTTTACAAAACCACGGCACATTTATTGTGGTAAATGCAGAGATAGGTGGTTGAGAGGATCGCAGAGTTAGTCTTCCTGCAGCCGCTTTGGAGAGAGACTGTGTCCGGAGGTGTCCGTGATCGTGCTGATTAGCCTCTTCAGCTCCACCCCATCGTAAGACAAAGGCCCTGGGGCCGTCACACTCTTCTATAACAACAGTTAAAAATATATATGTATATAAAATATACCGCTGTACCGACGCCATGATAAGACTGATGTTACGCTGAGAGCAGCCGGGAAAAGCACTGACATGGGCGCAGCCTCTCTGGTGGTTGACTAATCAGAACGAGTGGCCGAGCTGACCAATCGGAGCACACTAGGCTCACAGGGAGGGGGGGGGCAAGAGCTCCAACGAGTCGTTTAGTGGAGAAAGTGAATACTGCTGAATACACATGCTTGACAGAGATGCTGTATGCGAAACCAATGTGAGTTTGGAAAATTGCACAGTATAAATCTATTTTAGTATACCTCAACAATGTAATTATGATCAGTGGAAATGGCCATGACATGGGCCCTTTAAGTAACCCAAAATGTTAAACAGTAAAAGTAGTAGTCATATTTCGTGAACCCTTTGAAGAGTACTGTCACACCGGTGTGATCATTCTATAATACACAATTTAAGCCCAGGGGAAAAAGGCTAACGCTAACGCTACATTAGCATCGGCGATCTTTTGCACTTCATGCTATCTGCACAAATGGTTGACATTAAACATTAAAAAGACCAGGCAGTTCAGAGAGAATCAAAGGAAGGCAGGCAGCTTTGCATGACATTCATAGTGAGGGTAGTCAATCCTTTTTTGACAAGACAACAGTGACGGCCATCTTGGTGACGTGTTTTATTGTGCGAGACCGGAGATGTAGTTCATTGAGCATTTCACACAAACAAATGTGTTACTTTACTTATTTTTTTGACTTGCAAAATTATCTTTTAAATTGACAAACATCATATGTGTAATTCGTGGCACAATTCAAACGGGATCAAAAGATAATCTTTCTCTCTCCATTGACTTCAATACATAATTTTTCCGAAATAAGGTCCCATGGAGGTCCACCGGAAGGGGAGGGACTTCGCCACTCTATAACTGAAAGAATTGCCACAGCGGAAGTCCAAAATGCTTGATCGTCACATGGTGGTCTCTTTATAGGGCTTTGTTCAGTCATACTCATACAGTGGCTGTTTCTCAAAGTCGAGGACGATTCCTTGGTAGGACATGTCTTTCGGGTCCTTCTGAGGCTAGGCAAGAATCCTTCCTAGCATTCGGAGAACGAAGAATGGAACAGGCTAGCAAGTGTGCAGGTGTGCCTCATATGCAAGGCCCCTTAAAAGGAGCGCGATTAGTTTGAAGACTCATAACTGATTTGCGAAGATCGAAGATGTACTTGAGTAACTGTATTTTATAAAATGATCATCAATCCAGGACAGAACCACTAAACTAACATAAAACGTTCTCCTTCTGTTTGCAGAGTCCTGGAGGATAAGCAGCCATAAGAAAATCATAAAATCACCATCACCAATCAATAATAACATTTGTATTCATATATCATACTTGATGTCTGCAAACCTCTTTTACACATATTGGTGCACATTGTAGCATAAACCACAAATATCAACAAAAGAGGCAAAATCAAAACAAGATTAATTTTAATTATTTATTTGGAGGCTCTGAAGGATCCTTCCTTGACATTGAGAAGCAGCCACAGTATAGGAAAAGCAATTTAAAATAAGTTTAAAAATAGAAAAGCATTTCCTTGTGTGTGTCGTTTAGGCATGGATGTATAATAAGAACTGGATACAGCGTCGGAGGCGGGGTCTCGTTCTCATGAGAGCTGCTCATTGGCGCATGAAGGCAAAATGGCCCAACTTTTGAGAGAGCGAAACGTCACAGATTACCCGTCATGCCTCACTGTCAGAGCAGAAGAACCCGTATGTGCAGTCACAGAGCATGCGCCCCTTAAGCCCCGCCCCCCGAGCTCCCACTCTCGGCTCACTAGAATTAATTGAGAGAGAAAATAAATCTAGATTCGGCTTTTAGTGCATTTTATAACTTTAAGGACCAAATGATTCTAATAAGGCCTATAAAATAGTTTATACTGGGTAGTTTATTGAGTTAAAAAAAAAAGTATCCACCGATTTACAGACGTCTCTTTCCCCATGTTAGTCAATGGAAAAAAAAAATGTTGGGCCGGGTGACGTCACGGCCTGATACGGAAGTTGCAGTACCGCCGTTTGGACACAAGGAATTTTGGGCACAGAGTCCGGAGGACTTCCTGGGGGCTTGGGTTTAGGGAGGGCGGCGCCCTATCGCCCCCTATGGGCCAGCCGCCACTGGGTAAGTACAAAGTAGCAAAAATATTGAGATACTCAAGTAAAGTATAAGTACTTCAGAATTGTACTTAAGTACAGTATTTGAGTAAATGTACTTAGTTACTGAACACCACTGGGTTTAATTCACTACCAAAGTATATTATATTTACATTCACCAGCACAAACAGGTACAGGTTTTTGCAGTTTGATAATACAACACAAATAAAACTCCAAATCGCATGCCTAGGTACCAAATGCCCCAAAATCCCAAATCTTACCCAGCAGTCAGTACCAATTGGTAAAATAAGAACAAGCCCTTATTTTTGTCATAACCCGGCTCCTATGCCTGACAAAAATGTGAAAGGATGCAATGGATGGTGGTAAATTAAAGTATTGTATGTAATAAAGTAAACATGTACTTGAAAAAAACTCAAGATAACACCAAAGGAAGGCCGATACGGGTAGCTGCTCTGTGTTACCTTCAAGGACAAGAGGTCATGTAAAATGTACAGGTACAAAACAGAGGACTAGGACTTCAACTGTCACACACACTCCACAAGGTTTTTCCTCAGCTCAAGTTGAGGTCTTCATAAAGATACGGGTCCAGCTCACGGAGAGCATTGATCAGAACCCTGCTGGCTGCAGCTCCTTTTCTTCGCACCGCGTCCACCACCTCTCGTGCTCCATCATTTTGGGGTTTGGTTCTGGCCGACGTCATTTCAGATTCATTGATGACTCCAGACTCAAAGAGTTTATCCAGAAGGTCATTCAGGAGAGTTGGAGTCACTCTTCGAATGAACTCTGTCCGAACTGAGAACAGCCACTCGACTACTGGGACTCTGATCTCTGCTGGGACTCTGCTCTCTGCTGGGACTCTGATCTCTGCTGGGACTCTGCTCACTGCTGGGACTCTGCTCTCTGCTGGGACTCTGCTCTCTGCTGGGACTCTGTTCTCTGCTTGGACTCTGCTCTCTGCTGGGACATTTCTCTGGGACAATTCCTTCCTTGGATCTGGAAGATAAACAGGGAAAAAACTTTTGTTAACCAACAATCACATTAAACAGATCTCTTAAAAATTAAAGTATCTCGACATTCCCAGAGGGGGATTTCTGTTCACTTAAAGTTATAATATGTAAAATTTCCTCATTAAAATGTATAAAAACTCCTACAACTGTATTATTTATATTTTGTTGAGTTGTGTACAAACATTATTGCAAATGGTTCAGAGAGATGTGTAATTTTAATCAAGGTAACAGTACGTTCATCACGGTCTCCTGTAATGGCGGCGTATCCACTTAAGCATTAGAAGCTGAAGACTACAACTCCCATAATGCCACGCTGTTTCGCCACCGCACAATACTAGTTTTTATTATGGTTTTAGAATATAACAGCTTGTGAGTTTAATGTAGTAATGATGCGCTGCCATGGAGCCTTAATAGAGAATGCTATGAGATGGAGCTTTCGAGTTATCCAGTCTATCACTGGGTCTGAGCTCAGGTGGAGTCTTTACCTTCCAGTGACACGCGACAATACCAGACTACGTTTCCACCTTGGTCCTTGACCTTCAAAACCACTCTCTCTGTGCTCGTCGTCAGGGAAACTAGAAATGCCGGGTAGTAGTTTGGTCCAAACCTGGAATCAAATGTTTTACTCTGGAAACCAGAAGCAGAAGTTAAATGTTTATCTGGATCTTTCCTGATTGTGAATCCACATGCAGATAAATGTGTGTTAATGATCATTGTGTTTCTTTAGAGGAGTATCAGTGACTCACCTCAGGCTGAATGAAGAAGCCCTCAGGTTCACAGTGCACACTGTAACTGTGATCAATGTCCAGCTCACAGTCGGAGGAGATTGGGATGTTCACAGCACGTCTGTGTTTAACAACCTTCAGAAACAGGACATTTTGATCAATTTAAAACAACATGTTGACAGACCTGCTCTACAGAGATATAAGAATTACAATCAATTAAGAATAACATCATGAGGACATATGTGAGTAGATTAATTTAAGTGTATAGGTTAGATATTTTTGGATGAAATTCCAATTCTCCAACACATTTTTTAATATATTTATTAGGGTTGTTTACAGAGCCCCTAAAGCAGGGATGCCTAACCAGTCGATCGCGATCGACCAGGGAGATTCCCAGTCGATTGCGAGATGTGTCTAAAAATAGAACAACAATATTCAGTTTTATCGTTAATGTCCTATAACATAATCTTCCTGTGCCAGAATAATGCACTTGAACGCATCAAAGCTTTGTGATTGGCGTGACCCCACGTGTCGGGGCGTGGCTGGTGGGCAGTGGGCACTAGTTAGCTGACGTTGTCCGTGGCAACAGGAGTGACAGTCCGCACACACACAAGACCCCAATTATGGCAGAAGCAAAAAAGCCCAAAATATATCATTTTCACTCCGAGTGGGAGGATGATTATTTTTTTGTTTATTCCAATTCAAAGTCCATCTGTCTCATCTGCAATGCGAGCGTGGCTTTACCGAAGAAGGGTCATTTAGAGCGGCATTTCAAAACGGTGCACAAACGCTACGAGACGGAATTCCCTCCTAATTCTGCCCTACGCTCTTCTGTTCGTTGCGTGCATATGTAACAGAGTTAAACATGTGAATACATAATTATAAGTTTGTGAATGTTTAATTCATAATAAGTTGTGAATTTTACGAGATGAGATTGTTTCATTTAATATTTTAAGTTTTGTTGTGGGAACACCTTCCCGTTGCACGTCTTTGTTTACTTCCGGTATGTATTTTCCACCCTCCGCGGACTGGCCATCTGGGGAATCTGGAGAATCACAGAACGGCCGATCGTCAACGGCCGTTTTTAAAAGTTGCACCAACGGAGGTCCGCCGTTTCCCCGCAGCGAGCCTCCCTCCCACTTGACAGTTCGCTAGCACTTGGTAAAGAAAAAGGTTGGGCACCCCTGCCCAACTGCCCTGCCCCGAAAAAAGAAAAAAAAACTATCTTGTGCTCTCGAGAAAGTTACCGGTTCACCAAGTAGGAGAGATGTGCCTTTTACACACCGCCTTCACTGTGTGTGTGTGTGTGTGTGTGTGTGTGTGTGTGTGTGTGTGTGTGTGTGTGTGTGTGTGTGTGTGTGTGTGTGTGTGTGTGTGTGTGTGTGTGTGTCAATGGCATTTGTTTTCAGAAGATATTCTGATAGTGTCGTTTGTTCCAGTGCACTCCGACAGGACTAAACACTAAATCGAGATTAAGATTAAACAAACTTCTTTCACTTGGGAACACACACCTATGGACCTATGGAGTTGGCCAGATATGTGTAAATTACTGTTCATGGTCATTTGAAAACAAATGCTGGTGTCGGACACACACAAACACACCGAACACACAAACACAGAGCGTAGCAGAGCACAAACACACACACACATCATGCGCCCTGGTGACCGGACATGTCCTTCATAAAACGAGTAATAGGGGGAATAATCGGGCAGTTCGATGTGTGTAGAGGTGTGTGTGTGTGTGTGTAGAGGTGTGTGTGGTAAAACGTAGCAGCCTCGTCTCTCTTCAGCTGTTCTAATGAAGTGAAGGCGGTGCATAGAAGGCACATCTCTTCATTCATAGATCAAGGCAGACTGGTCCACAGACTCTCCTGTTTTGTGAATCCGGTGCTTAAACAAATATCTCTACACCCCTGGCCGAAATTTTTTCCATGATCCGTAGTTGTCAACATTAACGTGTCAAAACTCGCGATTAATCTGGAAACCTTGACGCGTTACAAGAATGAATGCATATTAATCACATGACCAATTCCTGTAACGCGATCACACGTGATGCCGGCTCTAATCCCTAAAAACTACCAGAGGGTTGGCTAGCCATGGCTAACATCACTGTGACAGTCTAATGGAAGATCAAGGACAAAACTCCCCAGTTTGAATACTTAATGTCCGGCTCTGACCTGAGGACAAGCAAAGGACTTTTTGCTCCACTGATCTAAACAAACACTAGAGTTAGATATTTGAAACAATTACTATTTATTTCAGATAGGAAAGTTTAAATTTAGCCAGAAGGTTTATTACCTGGGCGGGTTACTATACCCATCCCCCTACCTGAGGAAGACAAAAGGACATAGGAGAGGCCAACTCCTCTCTTTTCCTCTCATCTCTGTAGTTATTTTGTAACTAGTATATCCTCCAGCCACCTCCCCCAGGTCCACCACTGTGTTCCCTCCTTTATCCAGCACAGCAGCCACCGCTCATCGGTTCAGTAAGACAATGCAGTCCGTATGCTTGGTTATGGTCATTTTCAGTTATTGATTTAAAGGTCACCTATCAAGCTAAATCCACTTCTTCATGTCTTTTATACATCAACATGTGTCCCCTCTTCCTCATGTCTCTTCTACATCAACATGTGTCCCAGGGGCGTCGCCTGGACCTGAAAACATTCGAGGCTTAGCCCACAGTGGCGGCGGCACTACAGTGGCATTTTTTACTGCAACACTCCCCACACGCACACACACAGTACACCCGCGACTGTTACAATGAAGGCTCGATAATCAGCTCACGGCATATAGGCAGGGGTAAAGTGGTATTTTTTATGAGTGGGGGGCGGACCTCACCTCCTCTAGGGGGGTCCGGGGGGATGTTCCCCCGGGAAGATTTTTTTTTTAAATATTGAAGTTAAATGCATCAATCTGGTGCACTTTGAGAGCAAAATGAAGAGATCTATGGATACCTCTCTCAACACCCATATGAAGCAGAACTGTAAACAGATTTACTTTTTCTTTATGGATATTTTACTAATCACTCCCTTTTTAAACTCTATTCTTGTTTTACTGCCATATAGTATTTCATAACTGTTTTTCCTTTATTCTCTTATTTTTTTTATAACTATAATGATCATATGAAGGTGTGCTGCGGAAATCTTTTGAATAATTTGTGACCAAACCGTTTGAGACCCACTGAGATAACTTAGACTAAAGTTAAGTATCTAAACACTCAAGAGAGTCCTTTAGCTCACCTGAGTCTCTCAGTCTGAGAGGAGAGGACTCTCCTCCAGCTTGTTGTGGAACAAACAGCTCCTTATGTCCGTTAGCGCAGCTAGCTAACCAGATGCTAACAACACGGTCCCTGCTGGCACCGGTCCCTCCCTCCCCCTCTCTCCCTCTCTATCACACTAAATGCGCTATTGCCACACACACACACAGAGCCGAGCTTGAATGACACAAGCACACGTTTATTTCCATGCAACTCTCTGATTGGTCTGGTGTCATACCTCTGTTGCATTCACTGAACACGGGAAATTACAGTGCTGCCGTCCTCTCTTGTGTCATGATGAGGTTCACGTAAAGCACGGTTAATGTATTATATTATTGAGGGAGAATTGTCCGGGGCTACAGAAAAAACATTCGGGGCTAAAGCCCCGGATGCCCAGGCCAGGCGACGCCACTGATGTGTCCCCTCTTCTTCATGTCTCTTCTACATCAACATGTGTCCCCTCTTCTTCATGTCTCTTCTACATCAACATGTGTCCCCTCTTCTTCATGTCTCTTCTACATCACCATGTGTCCCCTCTTCTTCATGCCTCTTCTACATCAACATGTGTCCCCTCTTCTTCATGTCTCTTCTACATCAACATGTGTCCCCTCTTCTTCATGTCTCTTCTACATCAACATGTGTCTCCTCTGTGGAAAGAGACTCTGAAAGTTTCAGGAACAAAGATTCTCTCTCTTTTTGTCCTGATCCATTTATATAAAAACCTGTCTGAAAATGAGCTGATCAGATTTTGGCCACTTTATGATGTCATAACGATGTTTTGTCTTGTGTAACCATTAGCCAATCACCAACCAAGGTACCCCCCCCCCCCCCCCCACCTTATCACCTGAATCTCCTCCTAGAGCACCATTGAGTTCTTTTTAACCAAATCTCTCTCAGAGGGGCGTGGGGAGGGGCTCCTTATTTTCATCTAAAGTAACAGACAGAGAATCAGCACTTTGGGAACAGGGCTGAAACAGAGGGGATTATGGGATGCTGCAATGATCTGTTTGGTGTTTCAAGCCAAACACTTCAGAGACATGTTTTGTATATATCTGAGACCTATATATATTGATGAAAAACAGTATAATAGGGGACCTTTAAGGCTTCGATTAGGGTTGGACTCCCAAAATACTTCCCATATCATCTCTCTCAGTAGGGAGCTTGGGGACACAACTTCTTAACGTTTCTTTTTACGTATTTTAAAGTATTAAGGTAAACTTCGAGTTTGATAACCAAAGTAGAGTGTGGCACTCCACGTAAATAATTAAGAATTAATTATTAAATCTGCACAAGAAATATGCGCAAAAAAATATTGAGTTCAGATAGATCTGATTCTTCTCACAACCAAGACAGTTTGAAAAGAGGAGCAGTGGCTCAGTCAGAAAGGGGCTTGGACTGTGAGCTGTAGGGTCGCCGGTTCAAGTCCCCCAACAGACGTAAAATATGGAGTTTGGACTGCTACTTGGAGAGGTCCCAGTTCACCTCCTGCCCTGCCGTGGTGCCCTTGAGCAAGGCACCGGACAACCCCCCACCCTCCCACTCCCATTGCTCCCTGAGCGCTGTACACTAGCTGCCCACTGCTCCTAGTACTAGACTCCTGGTACTAGGATGGGTCAAAGCAGAGAACACATTTCACTGGGTGTTTCTCAATCGCGAGTACGCTTGCTTGGTAGCACATGTCTGCCGAGCATCTTGCTTCAGAAGCGAGGCAAGAATACTTCCTGACATTTGGAAAACAAAGAGTGGAACAGGCTAGCAAGTGTGCAGGTGTGCGTCATATGAGAGGCCCCACTTTACATCTTCCGCCACAGATTTGGGGAAATTGGTCCGTGCGCAAAGCATTGTGGGGATTTTAAGACCGCGGAGTCTACTCATGTGCAGCCTCGATATTTCTCCAAACGGAGTACGCCGGGCTCGGTAGATTTCCAAGTATGCTGGAGATTGGAACAGTACTTCGAGGCACTCGATGACGTAGTATGCTTGAAATAGTGGCTCTGCAGCAGCTTTACTCGCGATTGAGAAACACCCCGTGTGTGTGCATTTATGTGTGACCTTTAAAGAGGGTTTCATCCCTCCAATTCTATTCTATTCAGTAGGGAGCCTGGGGCCACAACTTCTCTGTGGAAACAGCTGTGGTTTAAAACAAGCATTTAGGCTGATGGTGAGCACATTACCTCCTCCTCAAGGACGTTGTTCTGCAGCAGAAATACATCCAGTATTTGTTCCACTCTGCCCGGGGGTCGTAGGAACAGCAGAATTTTGCCCTTTATTCGCCACTTCAGAAGCCTTCTCAATTTATCGATGATAAGGCCAAAGGAAGAGAGGTGAAGCACCTTCACCACCACGTGAGTGTGTGTGACCTCCAGCGGCTCCAAGATGCTCAGGCCTTCATCAGTGATGTGGACGACAGACAACAGGCCGTCCAGGAGCAGCGCTGTGGAGCAAAGAGCTGGTCATCTGTTGCATTGCTGCTAACACAGCTTCATCATCTTCAATGTCACACCACTTTAGCTCAGAGCTAATGTTCATCTAATGTCATTCACTTTGGAGCCTCACTGGGATGTACCAGTTTATATCCTTCACCTTTTATTTGTAATGTTTAATTATTGTTCCGTCCCCCTGTGATCTTTCTGGATGTGAGCGTGCAAAATTATTTTCTAATTTACAAGACTGCTGAAATGTTTGTAATCTGCAGCCAGAGCAGCTTGACTGTGTCCGGTCTCATGTCTGAGTGATTCTCTAGATGTGTGAAGAGTTCTCTAAAGCTTTTAGGGCGTAGAAAGTCTAACTTATAAATGTTGTTGTCTGTTGTTTTGTTTTGTACATGCTTCAGCCAGACTGACAATGTAAAGAGCAGAAAGAGCAAGAGATGGATAACAAAGTCATAATTAATCAAACTGCTAGCTGAGAGTGAGAGTTAGCGTTGAGTTAGCACTGTTAGCAGCTAAACATGCTGTGGACTGACAGGTCACAGTTTAAATGTCTTTAATATCCAGTGAGGAGACTGCAGAGGACCCAAAGAAAATCCAACTCAGTATTTAGAGCTGCATTGCATCGTATGCTTCAATAATTATGTCATGAAACACATCCACTAAATGGATGTTTTAATCATTTCATTCTTCTTCTTTTGGGGACACAACTATTTTGAATGTAAAGAACAGATTTGGTGTCGGAATTATCTTATCAAGGTTCAAGGTTCAAGGTTCTCTATTTAGTCATACGTACATAGCTACAGTGTAGTTGTGCCGATGAAAATCTTGTGTCACAGGCTTCTCCAACAGAGAAACACAAAACACAGATACACAGAAAAATATAGTGCAAGTAAATAGTAAATAGTAATACAAAAAGAAATAGTTTAAAAAAAGTGAAATAGTGAAATAGTGCAATAAGAGTCTATATGCAAGTTATTGAAATAGGATATATAGGTAAATAGATACATAATTTTTAAATATTTGTTTAAGTAGCAGCCAGATGAATATTAGGGATGTTGTTTCAACTGTTCAGGTGTTTAGCAGATTTTGCTTCAACAGTTCTGGTGGTTAACAGTCTTATTGTCTTTGTTAAACTAGTTAACTTTTGAACAGTAGTGGATGGTATAAGGTGCTCAACATTATATAAGTGTATTTGTTAACACTGCAGATGTCTTTACCATCCTCTGTCTCGCTGTGTGGCAGGTGGAGCTGGCAGACGGCAGCTTCATCAGAACTCTTCACGTCGAACAGCGGCCCTGCTGCCTGCTTGCCAGCTGATTGGAGGAGGCTCTCATCCCAAGTGGCCACCCTGTACAGAAGCTCCGCCTCCTGAGCCATGACGAACACCAGGCCAGTCGAAGCACACTGGAACATACCTGGACCAGGACACCTGAACCTGTAGACACACAAGAGACAAGTTACTCCAACAAGCCTTCACTGGCTGACAGTTCTGTGTTCTGACTGACAGGTGTTCATCCAGCTGGAGTCTGACCTGGAGGAGGGTTTGTTGAAAGATCTGAAACACCTGATGATTACAGGAGCATCACTGAAGATGTGTCCACATGCATCAGAATGTGTGTAAACACATGTTCATTAGATTAACAAAATGTCTAGTCCAGCGAGGATCTAGACTGGTACAAGAAAACAATCCTACACACAGAGGCATTATCTTATTGATGTCTGCTGGAAAGAGATTGGATGCAATACCTCAAGGTGAAAGACTTGAAATGAAACACAATTAAATAAATATATATTTTCAATGTGTTTAAAATAATATTTGGTCATGTTATAGGATTACCTGTATGAAGACTCAGTTGTGTGTTCAGGTGAGAAGGATTCAGGAGCCTGGAACAAAGAAAGTTATTTATTTTATTAGAAATCAAGTTAAGTTCTAGCTTCAACTCTCAACTGCTCCTCTCTCACCTTTCTGTCTGTCTTCACTTCCTGTTCCACATCGGAGTCACCTGATGGAGAGAAGAGGTGACGGAGAACAATAATAATAAAACTATATCATTCTTGTACTATAAATACCTTTTAAGATCAGATGTATTGTACAATATCTTGATGAATGGAGGGTATGGTTCAGTACTCACAGTTCTTCTGTATCTTGGCTCTGATTGGCTCGTCATTGATCCTTCAGGGATGAACACAATCCAACAGTTTGAGATCAAGTTAAAATAATAGTTTGTTCTTTGAGTTAGTCAGCTTCAGAGTCCTGACTGATCCAATGCTTTACATCACATCATATCTTCTCTGCAAACACTACGACTGACTGCCCACAGCTCTCAGCTGCATTAGAGAATTCACTAGGCATTAGTCCAGGCACATAGAAAAACAAACAGACTTCCTTTTAAACTGTAACATCCCATTTGTCTGTTAATGAGTTGCACCTGACTGAAATGTGGCGTTGCATTGTCAGCTTGTATTATATTGCTTGATAATAATGAAAGAAAAGAAACATAAGATGAACAAAAGGAGAAACTGCAGTCAAATGGTAACATCCATGATTTGTTGTGCTAAGCTAGGCTACGCCTGGAAGGTGGAACTGGAGAGATTCCCCAGTGAGAGGAACCCCTCCACCTCCCTGTGTTTAATACAATACTGCTGAACCAGCAGAGAGTCGACCCCTTACTGACATGAGAGTCTCCAGTCTGCAGTCTGGACTCTCCAGAAGATCTCTCAGCAGCCCCACTCCTGAATCCTGCAGATAGTTTCCTCTCAGGTCCAGATCTCTCAGGTCCAGCTCTCTCAGATAGGAGGGGTTGGACTTCAGAGCTGAGGCCAGAGCAGAACAGCTGATCTCTGACAACCTGCAGCCTCTCAGTCTGAATGAAGAACACATGATCACATGGTCAGTTCAAACTATTCAGTCAGTATAAGCATCTTTTAGCTTTATAAAAATGTTGGAAAAAGCAAATACTGAATATATGTTTTGTGTTTGATTGGAAATACTTATTAATTATACTCCTTTGTCTTTTATATAATGTAGTAAAATAAAGCTTGATGGAGGTTCAGTTTGAATTATGCACAGTATAATTCTTATTGTAATGTTTACATTTAAAGCTGAATATTGCTCTGCCACTGTCAGGGAAAGAAACCACAGAAGAAGAAAATAGACTTTAGCATCAAGATAGTCAGAGAGGATCAGGATCATATCAGCCTGATGTCTGCAGCTCAGAGTCAACACAACTCTCACATATTCATCTCAGCACAGAAGTTAAAGATGGAGAACTGACCTGAGAGTCTCCAGTCTGCAGTCTGGGCTCTCCAGAAGATCTCTCAGCAGCTCCACTCCTGAATCCTGCAGAGCGTTGTCACTCAGGTACAGATGTCTCAGATGTGATGGGTTGGACTTCAGAGCTGAGATCAGAGCAGAACAGCTGATCTCTGACAAACTGCAGTCAGCCAGACTGAATAAAGAAAACATGATGTAACTTTAGAAAAGCAAAGTTTCAGCTTAAAATATTCAAGGTTCAATAATCTGTTTATAGCTGGAGAAGTAGAGAATGTAGGAGTTTATAAAGTGGACATCCTGACAGGTTAAAAACTGTAAGATCCAGAAAGAGAAAAGATCTCTCATTAATATGAAAGGCAACGTGCTTCACCTTCAATAAAAAGTGGAGACTTCACATCTGAACCTCTGCTCCATCTACACTAACTCATGATGTGCAGCCAGACTAATACAAACCCACTGAAACTGATTCAACTCAAGATCACACACTTTACAAATATGACAAATATGTCGGGATGAATTTAGAAATGTGATAAAAAATAAACAGAGAATATTTATTTCAGAAATAGTGGAGCCATACATCCAAAGCATCTTCAGTTTAAACTCCTCAGTCAGTATGAGCATCATGTAGCTTCATACACATGTGAGAAACAGCTAAAACTGAACATATTTGTCAGTGTTTGATAGTTTTAATATAAATATTTAATTATTGTATTCATGTGTTTATAATGTCATTTATTTAAAACACATGATGGAGAATATAAGATGAATTTGAGGTTTTTAGGAGGTTCAGAGTGAATTATGCAGTTTGATTTTTCCTTAAAGAGCAACTTGCAGGTTAGAGATCCCAGTGAATAAATGTGTAGGAAAATGATGTATACACTAGATTTTCAAAACAATATACATAAATAGACACTACAGTGACATCTGGCGTCGTTTCTGTAAGACATTTTTACTTCCGCATAAAAAAAGACCACCCGCGTGTGACGTCACATGAGGGAGAGCGGCCGGTCTAACGTATTAATAAACATGGATCACAATGCTACTTTTGACACAGAAGAGGTTGAAAATGTATATTCGAATGGATATGACGGACCACAACCTTATAATGATGAGCCTGCTAGGCGTCCAAGAGACCAGGAGCAGCCAAGGATTAGAAGGAATAACGGCCATCGGAGAGAAATGGAGCTGTGGTGTGAGGAGAACCAGTGGAGAACAGGGCAGCTGTCTTGGTGAGTGACCGGCGTTAGCTACAGTTCATGTTAGCTAACGTCGGTCACATCACAACATTGTAAAGTTAGCTATCATATATCAGGCTATAACTAAAGTAGTATTGATCATATAGAAACGTTACTGGCAGGACTGTTGATACTGATCCATGACAGAAACTAATGCGCAAGTATCAGCCGTATCTCGCGTTACCTAATGCAACTCCACACTACGTCTGACGGTGCTGTGTACCGGAGGGGAGAGAGAGGAGCGAAGGGGGGGAGAGAGAGAGGAACGAAGGGGGAGAGAGAGAGGAGTGAAGGGGGAGAGAGAGAGAGGAACGAAGGGGGGGAGAGAGAGAGGAGCGAAGGGGGGGAGAGAGAGGAGCGAAGGGGGGGAGAGAGAGAGGAGCGAAGGGGGAGAGAGAGAGAGGAACGAATGGGGGAGAGAGAGAGGAACGAATGGGAGAGAGAGAGAGGAGCGCATGGGGGAGAGAGAGAGGAGCGAAGGGGAGGAGAGAGAGAGGAACGAAGGGGGGGGAGAGAGAGGAACGAAGGGGGGGAGAGAGAGAGGAACGAATGGGGGAGAGAGAGAGGAGCACATGGGGGAGAGAGAGAGGAGCGAAGGGGAGGAAAGAGAGAGGAACGAAGGGGGGGAGAGAGAGGAGCGAAGGGGGGGGGAGAGAGAGAGGAGCGAAGGGGAGGAGAGAGAGAGGAGCGAAGGGGGGGAGAGAGAGGAGCGAAGGGGAGGAGAGAGTGAGGATCAGGATCATATCAGCCTGATGTCTGCAGCTCAGAGTCAACACAACTCTCACATATTCATCTCAGCACAGAAGTTAAAGATGGAGAACTGACCTGAGAGTCTCCAGTCTGCAGTCTGGGCTCTCCAGAAGATCTCTCAGCAGCTCAACTCCTGAATCCTGCAGAGCGTTGAGACTCAGGTACAGATCTCTCAGATGGGATGGGTTGGACTTCAGAGCTGAGATCAGAGCAGAACAGCTGATCTCTGACAAACTGCAGCTCTGCAGACTGAATAAAGAAAACATGATGTAAGTTTAGAAAAACAAAATTTCAGCTTAAAATATTCAAGGTTCAATAATCTGTTTATAGCTGGAGAAGTAGAGAATGTAGGAGTTTATAAAGTGGACATCCTGACAGGTTAAAAACTGTAAGATCCAGAAAGAGAAAAGAGCTCTCATTAATATGAAAGACAACGTGCTTCACCTTCAATAAAAAGTGGAGACTTCACATCTGAACCTCTGCTCCATCTACACTAACTCATGATGTGCAGCCAGACTAATACAAACCCACTGAAACGGATTCAACTCAAGATCACACAGTTTACAAATATGACAAATATGTCGGGATGAATTTAGAAGAAATGTGATGAAAAATAAATAGAGAATATTTGTTTAGGAATAGTGGAGCCATACATCCAAAGCATCTTCAGTTTAAACTCCTCAGTCAGTATGAGCATCATGTAGCTTCATACAAATGTGAGAAACAGCTAAACCTGACATTATTTGTAAGTGTTTAACCTCTTAAGCCCTGAGCCTGTTTTTCAGGTCTCAGGCTCGAAAATGACATTCCCAGAACAAATGACCATATCTTCCCTTCTAACAGGGTTAAATTAATAATCTTTATTCTCAAAGTAATGATAAACCTGTGAGTTGGATGTAGAAAAGTCAGAATCAATATAGATGTTTTTTATTTTAAAGAAAATTCAGATTTTACATAGTAAAAAACTGTAAATTATAGTGTCCGTCCAAAAATTATTTTTTACTTATAGTGAAAACCACCCTTGGATGATGGGTTAGTAGACAACATATAATAAGTACCCTGTATCAAGATTGATGCAAAACAAGTGAAATTTGACCTTTTTAGAGAGATTTAGCCAAAAAACGCCACTTCTGGGGTCATTTGGGTGGATTTGACCTATCTCTGGCCCCCCTTTGCTCGATTTTGATGAATGAAATCTCTTTATAACCGCTAGAGCCAATGGAATCGAGGGAAAGTTATATACACACCAAAACGTTAACAAATAAGGAGTGAGAGTGACGCGTTACCAAAACCGGAAGCTGCATACACTCTAGTGGCTACCATTAGCAGCTAACTTTTCCGCTCCGATTTTTACATAAAAAATGGAATTATGGATTATAAATAATTTCTTCAAAGGCACAGGTACATTATCAACCTATGGATCAACAGTTGTAGCATTTTTTTTTTTCGTTTTAATGCCATTGAACACGTCTTTTGACCTAATTGACAGCTATGGTGAGACGATCTGCCGTAAAAGCTCCGTAAAGGTACGTGTTGTGATGTCTGTGTTTGCTTCCCCTGTCGCAAGTTCGGATCGCTCAGTGATGATACTATACCTAAATAATCAGTGGAGTCTCAGCTTTAATCGGCTATATTGTATGTGCAGCTACGATAAGTAATAAGGGTATTTTTATCTTGAATTGTGTGCCGCAGTGCGTTAGAATCTTTTCGCTCAGGGGTCATTTAGACGCTTCTTATGAGACTTGTGTTTTGTTTTGGTAAAAATGGTTAATATCTTCAGTTAGCTGAGATTCTTCCCGTTAATCTGGTGCTACACATTAATAGTTTCATAAATGTTAAGAAGCCCTGAGACATTATCTCGAAAAAAAAATGGTGGGAGGGGTCCAATGGGGGGACCGCCGTGCTTAACCTCTTAAGCCCAAGTCTCATAAGAAGGGTCTAAATGACCCCTGAGCGAAAAGATTCTAACGCACTGCGGCACACAATTCAAGATAAAGATACCCTTATTACTTATCGTAGCTGCACATACAATATAGCCTATTAAAGCTGAGACTCCACTGATTATTTAGGTATAGTATCATCACTGAGCGATCCGAACTTGCGACAGGGGAAGCAAACACAGACATCACAACACATACCTTTACGGAGCTTTTACGGCAGGTCGTCTCACCGTAGCTGTCAATTAGGTCAAATGACGTGTTCAATGGCATTAAAACGAAAAAAAAAATATCTACAACTGTTGATCCATAGGTTGATAATGTACCTGTACCTTTTAAAAAATTATTTATAATCCATAATTCCATTTTTTATGTAAAAATCGGAGCGGAAAAGTTAGCTGCTAATGGTAGCCACCAGAGTGTATGCAGCTTCCGGTTTTGGTAACGCGTCACTCTCACTCCTTATTTGTTAACGTTTTGGTGTGTATATAACTTTCCCTCGATTCCATTGGCTCTAGCGGTTATAAAGAGATTTCATTCATCAAAATCGACCAAGGGGGGCCAGAGATAGGTCAAATCCACCCAAATGACCCCAGAAGTGGTGGTTTTTGGCTAAATCTCTCTAAAAAGGTCAAATTTAACTTGTTTTGCATCAATCTTGATACAGGGTACTTATTATATGTTGTAATTTGGATTCCTAAAGCTTTTAGTCTACTAACCCATCATCCAAGGGTAGTTTTCACTATAAGTACAAAATTATTTTTGGACGGACACTATAATTTACAGTTTTTTACTATGTAAAATCTGAATTTTCTTTAAAATAAAAAACATCTATATTGATTCTGACCTCTCTACATCCAACTCACAGGTTTATCATTACTTTGAGAATAAAGATTATTAATTTAACCCTTTTAGAAGGGAAGATATGGTCATTTGTTCTGGGAATGTCATTTTCGAGCCTGAGACCTGAAAAACAGGCTCAGGGCTTAAGAGGTTAAGAGGTTAATAGTTTTGATATAAATATGTATTAACTGTAATAAATTGTTTATTATATCATTTATAAAAGAAACCTGATAGAGAATATAAAATGAACTCCAGGTGTTTCAATGTTCAGAGTGAATTATGAAGTGTAGGATTTTCTTGTTGTATTTTAATGTAAAGCTCAACATTAGTCTGCCACAGTCAACACATGTTCTGTAGAATCCCATATGTCTGGTAACAAGTTGCACTGACTAACATGTGGCTTTGCATTGTCAGCTTGCATTATATTGTTCTTGGGAGAATGAAAGAAAAGAAACATAAGATGAACAAAAGGAGAAACTGCAGACAAATGGTAACATCCATGATTTGTTGTGCTAAGCTAGGCTACGCCTGGAAGGTGGAACTGGAGAGATTCCCCAGTGAGAGGAACACATCCACCTCCCTGTGTTTAATACAATACTGCTGAACCAGCAGAGAGTCAACCCCTTACTGACCCGAGACCCTCGAGTCTGCAGTCTGGACTCTCCAGAAGATCTCTCAGCATCTCCACTCCTGAATCCTGCAGCTTGTTGTAACTCAGGTCCAGACCTCTCAGATGTGATGGGTTGGACTTCAGAGCTGAGATCAGAGCAGAACAGCTGATCTCTGACAACCTGCAGCGCTGCAGCCTGAATAAAGAAAACATGATGTAACTTTAGAAAGCAAAGTTCCTAGAAAGGGCGCTAAAGTCATTTCTGGCCCCGCCTACTTTCATTAGAGCGAAGTGTAAAATAATAGTGTCTTCATGTCTTAACCTGTTCCACTCTGAGCCTGTTTTTCAGGTCTCAGGCTCGAAAATGACATTCCCAGAACAAATGACCATATCTTCCCTTCTAAAAGGGTTAAATTAATAATCTTTTCTCAAAGTAATGATAAACCTGTGAGTTGGATGTAGAAGTGTCAGAATCAATATAAATGTTTTTTATTTTAAAGAAAATTCAGATTTTACATAGTAAAAAACTGTAAATTATAGTGTCCGTCCAAAAATTATTTTTTACAGATAGTGAAAACTACCCTTGGATGATGGGTTAGTAGACTAAAAGCTTTAGGAATCCAAAGTACAACATATAATAAGTACCCTGTATCAAGATTGATGCAAAACAAGTGAAATTTGACCTTTTTAGAGAGATTTAGCCAAAAACTGGGCCATCTGGGGTCATTTGGGTGGATTTGACCTATCTCTGGCCCCCCTTGCTCGATCTGGTTGGTTGACATACCCTTGTGACCGTTAGAGCCAATAGAATCGAAGGAGGATACTCACATAGACACACATTGTAAAGAAAAAATGTTGCCGCTTCGCGTGTGGAAAGCGAAACTAAACTGGAGGAATGTCTCCTTCTGGAGTTTGGAAACTAAAACGCAGTTGTATTGCTTATGGATTATCAGAAATAATTTCAAAGAAGGCACAGACACATAGGATGAACCTATGGATTAACTGCAGCATCGTTTTTTTTATCGTTTTAATGCCATTGAAGACCACTTTTGACCAAGGTAAGCCATATTTACATGTTTAGCTTCTTGGCTCCACATGTGATGATGTACGCTTTCGTTGATAGCGTCGCGAATGTTTATCACTGAGTGTTGAGGTGGGCACCGTTAGATTCAGTGTCTCCAGGACACCAAAAAATAGTGTTTGGTTGTGCATCTAGGATAAGTAATAAGGGAGTTCTGAGTGAGTTTATGTGCCTTTGTCGGTCCCGTTTTTTCGATCGAGGCTAATTCAGAGGCTGAGTGCTAGCATTGTGGGGTTTTTTTGAATTTTTTTTTTTAAAAAGATCAGTTAGCTGAGTTTCTTCCCGTTACATGGATATAACACATTCATAGTTTTATTCAATATTAAGATTCCTTAGACGTTGTTTCCTGCAAATGACGCGTTTATCCGCCCGGTACCGGGGGGAAGGCGTGAAACAGGTTAAAGCTGCTGAGTCATATACTGCACCTAAAACAACAAATAAATCCAGAGTTACAGTTTCTTTACTTCCTCTACAGAAAAAAGGACAGTAAAAGAAACTCAGAAATCTCAGTTTCAGATGAAACCTGCTGCAGACCCACCGGACATCCAAGGAGATAATAAGGTTCTCTAAGGTTTAATAATCGGTGATAATCGGTGATAAGAAGATGCAATTACAGTATGTATACAGATTTCATTGATCATGAGAAATGTGAATAAAAATAGCTCACAGTTTAGATTGTTTAGATTTCAAAATAAGGATTGCATTATCTGTAAATAAATCCCATAAAACAATACATCATTACAAATAACATGAAAGGAACAATGTGAACTTGGTTCAGGCGGCATCCAACTATTCAGGTCACTCACAATAACTTGTTGTGTAAAGGTCATCGCTTTCAGCAAGCCACAGTTGGTATAGTTAAAATAATCCTTGTAGCAATTCACTCTCAACACTGCACTCTGCTTCCAGTAAATTAGCCTTCAACTGAGTCCAGCAAAAGCTTCACATGGATAGTTTGCCGCCCACTCATGGCTTCTGTACATTTGCACTCTTCTCTTTGTTACAGTAATCATACGGGAACAAAATATATTTCTAAAACATGCTTTGAGGAAAAAGATCAGTTGTTTCCTTGCTTGGAGCATAAGTTAAATTAACTTAAAAGTGGTAGTGGTGGTCTAATGGATAGTGAGGTGGGCTGAAGATCGGAAGGTTGTGAGTTCAAATCCCGCGTGGAACTCCACCACTAGTGTGCCCTTGAGTAAGGCACTTAGCCCTCAGTCACTCCAGGGAGAATGTCCCTGTAAGTCGCTTTGGATAAAAAGTGTCAGCTAAATGAAATGTAATGAATCAAAGATGGATTCCCCAATAACTACTCAAAGCAGCCAACCGATGTTCTGTAACAGACAGAAGTAACTGTGATTGAGTGGAGCTGGCTATTTTTGAGGTATGGCCTCCTGAGGGGAGAGTGCTGTCCGCTGGAGCAATGTTTTGTCTGATGGTCTGTCTTCTCAGGGTATTGAGGGCGCTCCATGCTGCCCTAAATGCATTTTGCTGCAGGGAACATTCGGAGCTGTTTGAACGAAGATTGTGAGAAATCAATCTCCAAGTTTGCTGATGCTTCTGGGCAGAAGTGACGAGATAATGTAGACTGTCTCTATATAGTTATCAAGTGCATTATCTTTTTTTTGTGTTGCCTAAATCCACGTTTCTCTTGTTTGAACTTTATAATGACACGCCAATGTTTCGGCAGATACCTGGATAATGCCTACAATCATATATTTAATTTATGTTATATATCATAATAATTTCATAATAATAAATAATATCTCTAAGGT